TTACCAAGGCGACAAATGCAACGCTTCCTATCACAACAATCTCTGCCCCTGTCAGACCTGAAAGAACCACAAACATTCAGTAGCAGTATGAGTTAACACAAGTAAAAACTATAAGAACAAATATTTATAAACACTATTATCTTAGTAACTGTCAAGAGAGGATCAAGGGAAGAGAGTTAATCCCTTACAGACCTTACTCCTAAGCTTATCCCTTGCAAGCTATTTTTAGATCACTCCCGGTTTTGGAAGTTCCGGAAGGGTCTGGAAATAGCCAATCGTGTGACGCCAATTACGTCACGTGGACAGCCCATGCGGCTTAAGGCCACGTCCACACTACGCCGGAGGAATTTGAAAACGCAGCTATTTATCTACGGTTAAGCTTACCGTCCACACTAATCCGTCACCAAAACGGAGCTTTTCGAAAACGCTCTTCAAACCGGAGGAATTTGAAAACGACGGCTTTGCGATTTCGTGTAGACGGAAAATCTTTTGATAATAATGAGATTTCCCCGCCCGAGTTTTCTTCAACCACAAATCCAAAATGGCCGGTTGCGTTTTCAAATTCCTCCGGCGTAGTTTGGACGTAAAAAATTTGATGCATTTTCAGAGTAAAACCTCCATTTTCAAATTCCGACGGCATAGTGAAGACGGGGCGTCAGTCAAAGCAAGAGATACGACTGATGTTAGACACCTAAATTGTCATTCTTATAACGTACTACTACCTAGATACACGAAGTGTCTGTGATTGAGCGCTTTGAGTGTTGGAAGAAAGGGTTAACGCGATGGTCACGCGAGTCACGCAATGGGTTTGTATTAAAGATACGATCGGCCGGGGAATGTCTTTACTGGCAGGGAAAAAAAGACAAACAACAAAAGAAAAATCCAGACCTTCATGGCGACTTCCATTAGGTTTCGCAGTAACAGCATTGGCCGTAGTTACTCCTGATAATTAGAAAAACAAAACTACGTAAGAATACTAAAAGCAAAAGGCGTCCAAGCCTTAAAAGTGTATATAGTATATAAAGCGATTAAAGTATATAGAGGCTCCTTCTTGGTATGGAAGACATACAATAGGACAAGTCAAAATAACACACCGTCTCACAGAACATATTGGTTTCATTGTTTTTCTCGTTGTTTTGTCTTTTTGTTCTTTATTGTTTTACGTCAACTGTGTCTTCCACACCAAGAACTGATATAGATGCGATACAATACTAATACTTAAATTAAAAACAACAACAACAACAACAACAACAACAACAACAGGTACGTGTAGACATTAACAGTAACAGGAGCTCTGTTTGTCATAATGGGGAAGTAACTGGATTGACATTTAAAGTTGTGATCAAACTCTTACTCGCCCTCGTACTACTGCTATCTTAAGGTATCTAAGAGTATTTTCAGTCTTAATCAGTCTCTTAGTTAAGCCAAGAGACGAGGATCATCATGGTCTCTTGGTTAAGCTAACTCACTGCGAATGAAAGGTCTTGACACATGAGGGTTGCTGTCCAATGGATCACTATCTGTTCCGTGAAGAACAAGCGTCCAGTTGTACAAAGTACCTACAGCAAGTTAAGAATTCAAAATACATGTGTTATTATCTACTTCTTCATAAATTTACGTTTCTCTAGACTTGAGAGCAATCCTATCAAACGTTACCTGCAGGCAAAGTCCNATCACTAATGAATGGACATCCCTTCCACACAGCAGTAAACATAGAAGTTACGATATGTACTGACTTGACTTCCAGTGCCAAAGCTATGATTCCAGAAGCTATTGCAGTTGCAGCTGAGGTTGATGCAAATGTTGATGTACAGGTGTCATTCAGGTCTGAAGTAATCTAAAGGAAATAATGTGAGCCAAATTGTAAGAACGTAACATTTTGGGTTCCTTGCCATTTCACTGAAAAAACTGTAGCCATCTGACTGACTGACTGTTTGGCTGGCTGATGTGTCTGACCGACTGACGTACCTCACTGACTGACTGTCTCGCAATTGTCTGTCTGCCCGTTGTTCTGTTTGACTGGCAGACACACTGACTTGCTCTCTTGAGTATCTGACTCAATAACTGACTGTCTGTCTCACTGACTGCTGAGTACCTGACTGGTTGATTCACAGGTGAACTTACGATAGCATCAACTCCAGCTCCCATGTTATCCTGGCTGTATGTGGAAGCCATTATCGCTGAACACCTCTCAGCATATCCAGGGATGCTTCCATTTCTACTGACTCCAGTAATGGTAATAGTGAAGACACTGTTTGCATATCCATTGTAAGCACAGTTATCAAATTCTCTTCCACCATTTCCAGCTGCAAAAACAAATATTGATCCTTTCCCTTGTCGGCCCTAATTTGAAAGGAATGAAAAAATAGCATGTTCAAAACTAAAACTAATTAAATAATAGCAAATGAATCAAGTTCAAAACTACAATGCAATCTGTGTAAGATCCTGCACTAGCAAGGTTGAGCCTTGAGGCACAAAGAGAACATGACTAAATTGCATGAACGTACAAGTTTTGTGAACCTTACGTTTAAGTTAGAGGGATATTCCAAAAATCAATGATGGCAAAAGAAGATAGACACACTTATTAAGAGGAAAGAAGTATAAACTTGAGTTATTTCATTTCTACACTGTAGATTGGGCTACCCAGCAACACTCAGATACTTCATTTAAAGACCTTTCAGAGACTCACTATTTTTGTTCCTTTCTCCAGCTGGTCTCTTGCTAGTTGTTTTGGTCCTTCCATGGTCCATCCTGTGTCAGCAGGACCCCAGCTACATGAATAGATATCTATGTACTGTTGCTGGTATTGAAACGCTAGAGCCTCCATGGAATCTGTAGGGTCGTCATCTCCAAATATACGAATACCTGTGGGCAAAGAAACCTTGGGTGAAAGATCAGTTTTTCTTGACAAACTCGTTTATGATACATGGTCATATAAAAAAGGAAATTTAGCGTTTCAAAGAAAATTACAATGAATAAAAAAAAAAATAATAAATTGCAGCATTTAGAGAGGAAGCCACATGAGACTCAGCTGCTTTTCATGTGGGTCCCCTAACCTAGTCAAATTGGAATTTGGAGAGTTGGTTTTTGTGGAGGGAGGGAAAACCAGAGAACCCAGTGAAAAACCCTTGGAGCAAGGTGAGAATCAACATCCAACTCAACCCACATATGGCACCGGGCCGGAATTGAACCTGCGCCACATTGGTAGGAGGCAAGTGCTCTCACCATCGACATCCCTGATTCCATCTCCTTGCTCCCCAAAATTCTGAAAACACTTCAGTTATACATCAAATTAACATTACCTCCAAGTTTTGCATTAAAGGCAACTCCAATCCCACATTGACTGTTATTAGCTGAAGCTGCAATGACTCCACCACAACGATTACCGTGCCTGAAGAAAAGAAGCTAAACACGTCAGTATCAATACAATTCTACTGTACTGTCTGTAATTTATATATTATAATCACACAAACCACTAGAACTCACTCAAGAAGACAAAAGAAGGAAGAGGAAAACGATTATGTGTTGACAGATAGATGAATCTTAATGAACAATAATTAACAGGGGCACCCACAGTTGGATGGCTAATTATAGATGATTAATTGCAGTAATGTTGTGGATGGATCTCTATATACTTACAAAACTGTTTGAAAAAAGAAAGAAAGCCTAATTAATATATTACTTACTCATTTATTTCTGGCTGAACTTTGCTTTTCATGATGAATTGCAACTCGTTTACTTTAGAACCGTACATTGGCACATTGGGTGATCAAAACCTCAACTGGCTGTGGCCTGGGGCCCGTTTCTCGAAGGTCCCGAAAAGTTTTCGCATGGGAAAAGCCATAGCAAAATCTCAAACCCTATGACTTCAGAGCTGTTTTAAGCACATATTGTTAACATAAACAGAGGTTCTCTTCAAACAAGAAGTTTCAGGCATATACACCTCTCTGTCTTTAAATACCGATTAAATAAAAATGGCTTTGCGGGCCCGAAAAAGTTTCCGGGGCTTTTGAGAAACGGGCCCCTGGTCTCTTTCAAATCACTAATGGTTCACAACTGCTACTAATTTTTAGTCAAGCAAAGTTCTAAAAGCTTAATAAAGTGTTGCAATCATGTTTTTTTTAGTCTGTAAAAATAATTTCATTTTCTTTTTCACCCTGCAAATGTCCCCACAGGATCAGGTGCCAAAGTGTCATCCAAATCTACCAGATCCAAGCTTGCTTCAGGATCCTGGAGAAAATAAAACAAAAGGTACAAAACAGGTGTCCAAAATTTTGTTTCAAATCAGCTTTGACTTATGCCCAGATACCTGTTTGATATACTTTTTATAATTTCTTTTTTATTTTAAAGTAAACTAAAGATAACTTAGACTTTACTTACATAATTATCTTTTAGATCAGGATGAAATTCCTGAAGGCCATCATCAACAACTGCAACAACAATCCCTTTGCCAGTTACACCTTGCTGCCAAACCTTGTCAATATTCATTCCTTTTCCGTCAGGAGAATTCTGATTAAAAGGAAAATAGGCTGTTAAATACAGTTGACCCCTGCATCTCTACACTATCAATCTGGGGTGAATGCACGATTTTTGAGAAGGGGGTTTGTGATACGGACTGCTGAAGGTGGTCTCTTGTTATGTGCATGTAGGGGGGTCTGGAGGCATATATTTCTTCCTTTCTTTCTTTCTAACCCTAACCCTAACCACTATGGACAGGGTCCACAGACTACCCTATGGACTGGTCCATGGACAACCCCTACAGACCCCCTCCAGACCCCTTAAAACATACATACATAGCCCTTCCATGGGCCACCCCCAAAATAGAATAAAAATAATAAATAGGGATTTCATTCACAGGTTGTCTAATAGATTACTCTTGTCGGCAAAATTTTGAATGTTACATTGTGCAAATGTGACAGACTTGGGTTTAGGCTCAGGCGCAAGTTATATTATCACATGTACACAATGCCATTTTTGTTTGTCGTGGGTATATATGAAAGACCGGGAAGCCTCCGAGAATCCTCAATATTTTGAGCTCCTTCCCTCGCCATTCGTTTATCCCTTATGAATTCGTTCAGGCTTCACAATTTGATCAGCGGAATTACAAGCAAGCTCAGTTCCATAGCCAGATTGAGTCATGAATGGAAGATAAGGACTTTTCTTCTTTTTCCAACGGCATCTCCTTACACCAAAAACAGCTTATTATTTTGGGTTTTTTTAAAAGCAGCTAGTCCATTACATTTGCACAGCGTAATGCTCGAAATTTCACCGACATGAATAATCCATTAGACAAACCATAAGTGAAATCAATATTTTATTCTATTGTGGGGCGGTCCATAGAAGGGGACTGTAGGGGTTGTCCATGGACCGGTCCGTAGGGTAGTAAGTGGACCCAGTCCATAGTAAGGGGGGTGGGGGGGTCAGTGTTTTCCAGTTACCCTTGAAGACAGGCTACTAAAAATAGCCAAAGTGTACAGGCTGTCTATAGGATGAAGCTGCAAATCTCCCTTACTGCTATTTAATATAACTATATAAATTATATATAATTTAAAAGTAAATATATATGTACAAGTGTACATGAATTACAGTATATTACACATATGATGAATGTTTGTAAAATTTAAAACTGTGGTTTTGTTGTGATTTTCCTGCTTAATCCAGACTTTTTGGTACATTTTCTATGCATTACAGTTTAAGTGTCCCCAATAAGAAGGCAAACCCTGTAGGGATAGCCACCAAGTAGTTTTCTTTTGAAGCATACTGTTATATAAAGTTGTTGTTTGGTTACTTGTTGGATTGATTGAATGATGTTTTGTTCATTCCATTAACACAGAGCAGAAAATTTATGTAATACATTTTAAAATTTATTAACAGACAATTACACTTCAGTCTGACCTGCAATCTCAAAATACATTGCATGACTTATTATTTGAATATTCAACTGACATGTACAGTCATACTTATCTGAATATTTCACAATCATTGAATAATATTATAGCTGTTTTTTTCAGTCTGTAAATTTGGTGCTTATATTTTTGACACAATATTCTGTGACAGAAGGTTGAAAATAATTTGCCTACTTTATACTGGTCATGCAGAAAGAGAAGGCAATTAGATATTTCAGGGTACAATACATACATGTGTACAACACACAAGTTTAAACTATACAGGTCTACATGTATATGAAGATCAAGGCAGACAATAAGCCAGTAATTTAAGGTTTCTTGGACAATCACTTTTGTAACTCACCAAATACCATCTTTGCTCTCTCCACCTGGGATCATTAAATAAGACAGAGGATAGCTGGCTGTCATAGAGAACTCTCTTCCGCCTTACTTGTTGGGAGAACAAAATGACCTTAAAAGTCAATTAAAACAAAAAAAAAAAAACACAATGAAAATTATTTTTTTTAAATGAATGCAAACTCAGTTATTAGAGCCATTAAAGTGTATTAACTGATTGCATCTACAGGCTAATTAGCTATTATGTAAGACTTAGTTACTCCCTACCAATGGCTCTGCACTCAGACCATCTCCCTGAATCTGAGTTGGCTGTGAAGAAATCGTGGGTAGGCTTTTGTTCTCAAAAAGATAGCAATCAGCAGAAATCTGAGAGACAGGACAACACAATGAAATTACGTCATCATGATGGTAATTTGCACTTACTTGTTTCTTAAGACATACATGTACAGTATGACAATTCATCTGATGAAACACTGCTTTTTACAAGGCAAAGTTACCAAGAGTGTTAACCAAATTAAAGCTTAAAATGTTCAAAGTATCCCGGTGCTCATGTACATGTAGTGACCTCGTAGGAATGTATGTGTGGTACGTGTATTTGTTACAAGTGAAGTTACAGTAACTTCATGAATTGCAAAACATAAATAAAATTGTTTTTTAGAAACAACTTTGTAAAATTAGTAGAAAATCACTTGCATCTTCATGCATCATCTCCCACTTGTTGCATGATTTTGGCTTGTAACCATTATTTTCTCAGATGCATTTCATAAAAGTCTACATTTTCTCCCTGGTGTGGCATTATGATTACATGTAAATTATACAATGCAGAAAGTATTTATCATTTACCTTCAGTTTGTATGAGAATCCATAATTTTCAGCAATTCTCTTTGCTCCATCAGTATCTAAAGTTACTTGCACAGCCCATGTGCTGGTATACTTGTGGCTTCTCACTATCACATGGGTATTAGAGAAAGCCAGAATAACCAACAGCTTGAAGAACCACATCAGACAGTATAAATCTAAGAAATAATGAGATAATATAGTACACTTTTGGCAAACTGGTCCAAGATGAAAAGGTCTTTCATCTTAATTTTTGTACTACATACTTGTGAATTAGTTTAACTGGTAAATTGCTTTTTCAGAACATATATATAATTATAAAACCACTAACTTGCTAATTACAACACAATGCAATGACCCCAACCATGTAATTATAAATGCCTCTAAACTTTTACCTATCCTATCGGGTATACTGTGTATTTCTTTCAAATTTGCTGTGAATATTTGGGAATTCCTTACAACAATTTTTTTAAACTTAGACACTAAAAGCAGGGCTTCAGGTGTAAATAATACTGAAAACTGTAACAAATACTCAGTAATCAGTGAATGATGAAGGGAATGTACCATCATAGTTCCTTTTACATTGCCGTACATATGCATAGTGATGCAGCTACAGACCAGTGTACTCCAAAACGATCTCACAACAGAAAAGAAATTACTGCTTTTCCGTTTATGTTTTAACAGGCCTAAGCAGGATTACTTGTACTGTGGATACTGTATGGAGCTTGCATACTCAAGCAATAATTTATTAAAGTTATTGTTGTAAAATAGGGCGGTTTTCAATTAAGTACTGAAAGAAATCTGGCAATTTCTTTGGTTTTCGTTTTGGTTTTTGGTTTTGGTTTCACTACGGTATGAGATTGGTTGCATAGCTAGTCTAGACCACATGCAATTGTAATTGGTAAGTGATTATATTGGTTTGGTTTTACGACACTCAATTGAAAACCGCACAAGGACCCAATTTATATCTAATTACCTTCGATTTTTGGGGTTTGGAATAGAAGATCAGAAGCACTACAGACTACAGCAACATTAAGACTTCCTTAAACAGCTAAACCACAGCTATAAAAGAGAACCAAAAGTTTAAACTACAGTTCAAAAGGATTAATCTTTGTGTAGAATTCACCAATTAATATTCTAGGCAGCTGTTTAAATATCAAGTGGCAGCAACAGCTGTAACCCGAGATATTTTCCGACACAAAGTGGCATTTGAAAATGTCCACGCCTTTATATAAGTAACAAATCTGGACCAAACCAACAGCTCGTGAGTTGAATCTGA